AACTTTTTCGTATGTAATGTCCATGGTTGTGCCACCGTCGCTACGAAGGAGGGGAAGCAAATCTGTGGAATGATTCTTTCCATTCATGTTTGTAATTTTTTTCATCTTTTCTTGAACGATAACCAACGTGCAGGCTCCTACGGACGGGAACGAGCTTGGAATCCTGCCCTAATGGGACGGTGACTGGCCTCGACAAATTTCACTGGGAAGCATTTAATTGGGTCACTCTGTTTCCTTAGACTCCAGCTCGTAGAAGTGTCAACAAGGGCTGCGACAAGTTTCCTTACCAACTCAATGCAACACTGACTTAGTCGCCTTCAGAAACAGCATCTCCGTCTCGCAGGCGTTTGGGGTCCGGGGCGTGGTTTTGCTCCTCACGCTGCTGGTACTCAAAGCCGTGGGCTCTAGTATTGGCTATCAAGCTGGTGTCTGGGTTGCAGACTTTTAAATAGGGCAACTGTTATGGCTCAGAATCGACATCTAACAGAGATACGGGCACTTCGGAATGGAGTTGTTGATGGCGCGCAGTCGTTATCGAACTTGTTTGTCACGACGTTAAAGGAAGCACAGGTAAGCACATTGCTCTCTGGGTTGTTGCTTACACTACATCACACCGCGCTGCGCCATAGTCCGAGGGAGATACCTGCTCTTTTTGCTGGCCGAGGGTGGAGCTGAGCGATTTGGTGACAAAACAATGCACCTTTTGGGGCGGACGAACGGTCAGATAGGTGTGTGTTGTTCACTGAAAACCCGAAATATAAAGAAGAGTAAAAAAAGAATCCTCATCTTGAACAACAACAAGCAAAAAGACCAGCTTGCAACAGGTCCAGATCCTCATCCTCAGCCGTACCCAGCCCACGCCAGCAACATCATCACAGTCTCCCAGTGTGTCCCAAATCATCTACTTAATGGTTCGCTGACGCTGTTGCCCAGGGAAATGCTCGGGAAAGGAAGGGCGTGTGGAGGGTGTATTGGCTGAGGTTAATTTCTTGGACGTGCGCATGTGTTACTTGTGGAGGTAACACTGAGGTGGAAGAGTGTAAAAATGGCTGTCCAAGTCAGCAGTGTCATGTCTGCACGGCGATAAACATTCTGGAATAGGACTTTATAGTTTTCTGTTTTTGTTGTCATTCAGCCACTTTGTCACCAACAGACCACTATGTGCAAAGATGATGGGAATGTATATCAAGCCAAATAAGTCTGTGTTCACTCCGCTTGGCTACAACACGTCAATGCCTTAGCTTGAAGAAGCAAGAACGGAGGGCGGAGAACCAGGAGATGCAAATGAACGGGCCACAATAATGCAATAAAGAGGATATATAACAGGGAGAAGTAGAGTACACAAACGCTTTAAAGTGATAAGATACAACCAGTAGAGGAAAGCCAAGGACAAATAAATAGTCAGTCTTAGTAGTAACAAACCTTTTCGCTAAGCTAATTGTATGTTACATCTCTTGATTATTTCATTGTCTTGTTCATTGTCTGTATTTGGGTAGCTTCTCCACTATTTCACAAATGGCGTCAAGTAGTTGAACTAACCCACCTACCCCACAAGAGAGCCACCCCCACATCCAAGCCATCCGAAATTGCTGCATCGTCAAGAACATCCCTTTTTTCAAACTATCACAACAATTGCTATTTGTCGCCAAACAACGCCATCTTTTTAGGATACCTTCTCTATTACACTATGAAGCAATACACTGAGTTTGAGCTTTAACGAGCCCTTGCAGACGTAGCAGATGGCTGCCTTATCCGCCAGGCTGCTCGTAACTGGGGTATACTATACCAGACCCTTCAGCATTGGCTGCACGGCAGGCAAAGCAGAAATACTGCGTAGGTTGATTATCAGCGATTATCGCAGTCACAGGAGGCTAATCTGGCTACTTATATATCTACCTAAGTTGCCTTAGGCAGTGCTCTTACCTATCAGTAAGTAAAGGGCCTAGTAGAGCGTATAATAGGCGATACTTAGTGACCTCTAGGGAAGAGATAAATAGCTTGATTCTTGTAGCAATACCTATTAATCAAGACCTAAAGATGCTGATCGATTGATTCTAGGTAATATAGAGCCTATACTATAAATACTATCTAAGAATAGTTTAGTTATCTAGATCTATTAGTAATTAAAGGTATCTATCTATCTAACTAATAGAATATAGATAAGACTAGTATTATAGAAAACAAAGGAAGTAATGGGCTAGTGCTAAGCTCTGTGTTATTGTAATATATCTAAAAAAAATAGCCTAGATCTAGAGTATAGATATTATTAATTGAGTGTGTGTTTGCTGCTAAGACCTCTTTACTTCCCTTTGTTATATATAAGGGTAAGTTAGTCTAGGCTTAGTAGTTCTTATCATTCAACTTATCTAGATATGCTGGCTAGTACTTTACAGCATTAGATAATAGCTAGACGAATGACTAGACTACTTTTAAGTAGCTAAAGAAGGTCTTTATCCTAGGGACTATACCTAGTTAGCTAGATAAGGCCAGGCTACTAATTCTAGACGGCTATCATAGCTATATAACAACAGACTTTATATAGTAATGCTTTTAGTATTACATCTATCTACTGTTTTTATTACTATATTCCTCTATTGTCCTTTAGCCTCTAGATGTATTAGTCTTTAGCCTATTAAAGCAGGTATATTAGAAAAAGGTTAAAAGTCTAGGTAACTAGATAAGTGACTTAACTATTACTAATAAAAAGGCATTTCTAGACTATTATTTTAATATGTATAAAACAGTAATAATAACCTAGAACATAAAGTCTAGCTAGAAATAAGCTAAGTTATAGCTAGTATTTATATAGCGCCCTTTATCTAACTCCCTAGTATTAAAAGCATCATCTAGCCAGCCAGCTAACCAGCAAAGCAGCAGCTAGTAATAGGATAAGGCAGTATCTGCTATCCCATGGTTAACCCCTTATCACTCTACTGATCTACGGCATCAGTTACATCTATTTAACCAGCTAGGCAAGAATACCCTAGATACCTATACTATCCGTCACCTATCTAGAAAGCTACAAAAGGGATATAATAAGCAGGTATCTAGACTAGCAATTGTAGAGCAACAAGCCAGCGATCTACAGGCCTGTCTAGATAACCAGCACAAGGGCAAGAGGAAAAAGGTCCCAACATCTCCTAATAGCACCTTCGCAACAATAGCCTATATCCAGTGGGCGCAAAATACGGATATCGGCGATACAGATAGTCTAGATGAATCCAGCGCATCTGAATTATCTAGTGAAGCCGAAAGTTGCATCTGGGTGGGTGGAAGAGGGAGTGAAATAAGTGGTGATAGTGGTAGTGATGGTGTTGCCGATGGTGGCTCGGATGTGGGGGTGGCTCGTTAACAGGGTGGTTGTGTTAAGGCATCAAATGGGAAGAATGGAAAACGGCGGTTTCCGAGGAGTTAACGCCGTGGCCAACCACACAAGGACCTCGTCGCATCGGTCTGAGCTCGTTCAAGGCCAGCGTCACCATCGCCCACGCTATACTTGATGACAGTGACGAATATGGCAAGCTTCAAGATGATAGTCGCGATAGACAATTTACCCGCAATGAATATGCCGTTATGGATCATCAGCTTATCGTCGTTAGCGCCGGTGACAAGGAGGGTGTCATACGCCAGGCTACCAGCTTAGCCACGCACCTGCGCAAGTCGCGCGATGCCACTCGTTCGTCCCCACGAGAGGGAGCGGCATATCTCAAGCAGCTGGCATTCACACCGGGTGCCAAAAGAGCCCAGCTGGCATGTCGATCCTTTGCAGTCGTGTCGAACATCAAAAAGCTCTGCAGCCAGCTCGCGCCTCGGCAACCAAATGGTGACATGGGGGACACCCACCCACGCTTTATGATACGCAGAGCGGCAGCGGCATCGCTCACAGCAGACAGCAAGCTGCGCATTGGCATGATTTCCACAGGCCCAGGTGCGCAGTGGGCACGTATGGGCATGGATCTGCTCAGGTACGACATCTTCTGGCGGAGCATTGACCGGACCACACTTTTCTCCGGCGATTGCTCGGGTGTAAGTGGTCGGTCCTCCAAGAGCTGGGAGCCAGGGTGAAGTATTCCGACCTCAACAAGGCCGAGTTCAGTCAACCGCTTTGCACCGTTCTATAAGTGGCACTGCTGGATCTCTTGGCTTGGTGGAATATCACGCCAACTGTTGTAACTGGTCACTCGAGCGGAGGACTTGGGGCTGCCGACGCGTTAGAGGTCTTGTCGGAAGAGGATGCTTGGACTGCGGCTTACTGGCGGGGAAATGTCGACGCACGATCAAAACAGCCCCGAGGCTCCATGATCGCAGCCGGTGCTCGCAAGCGGTCTATCTCAAAAAGATGCTCAGGCTCTGGTAGAACGCGTGCCGCGGTCTGACGGGGTGGTTGTGGTTGGCTGTGTCAGCTCCCCATCAAGCGTCACGCTTTCAGGAGACAAGAAGGCCGTTGAGACTGCCGGCACCCTTCTTACAAAGGCAGCCATCTTCAACCGCAAGCTTAAGGTTGATGTAGCGTATCACTCGCCGCTTCAGGCTTGCTTGTCCGACGAACACTTCACTTGGCACTGAACGACATAAGAGACGATGAATACCAACTCAAGACACTTGGCGATAATGACCATTGCTCGCCCGCGGCCTTTTGTTCGCGTGTTGTCCCTAACGTAGAATTGAGCAACTGTTTGCAGGAGAAGCAGAACTGCGACATCGAAATGGTGAAACTGGACAATGCTGGCTTGCCCTGTAGGGAGACCACTTGTTCAAAGACGCCAACGAAAGACTTAACGACCACTTCCCCTACGATATCAGTCATCAAACTTGATATTGCTGAGCGTGGCCAGCTCGACACGCTACACTTTGTGCAGTATTGCGATGAATTGGCGGACAATCTACCTGATGATGAAGTCGAAGTGAAAGTGCACGCGTCTAGTCTAAAGTATGTGATCGGTGACCTCCAAAACTAGTGATAGGCACGGCTAACGGAAAACTCCAGCTTCAAAGACATCATGGTTGCCACGGGGTGCGTCATGGGCACCATGGAAGGTGCAGATGGTAGCGGTATCATCGAGCGTATAGGAAAAGGTGTCATGACCTTGGACGTGCATGATCGCGTCGTATGCTTGGCCATCAGAATGCACTCATCAGTAATACGCATCAAGGCGTCGGCGTGCAGACGCATCCCAAATTCCATGTCTTTCACTGAGGCCGCCTCGCTACCTGTGGTGCATTGCACCGCATACAACGCCTTCGTGCGCATTGTGCGTATTGAGACGGAAGAGACACCAGGGGTTCGCAAGACAGTGCTCATCCACGCGGCGGCTGGGAGCCTCAGCCAGGTCGCCATCCAGTGCGCGGAGCACTTTGTTATGGAGATTTTCGCAACGGTGGGTCCAGACCCCAAGCGCGAGCACATTAGGCGTCTCTACGGCATTCCCGGTGACCATGTGCTCTGCGCCCGCGACACCAGCTTTGCCATGGCAATCAAGCATATGACCAATCAGCGAGGTGTTGATCTGATCCTCAATTCGACATCTGGGGAACTGCTGCGCCAGACATGGCAGTGCCTCGCTCCCGGCGGAACCTTCATCGAAGTTGACAAAGCTGTCCTGGACAGCGTGCGGCCGCGTCCCGGCAACGACGTGAGCGCAACATACACAGTCTTTGATGTCGAGAATATCATTCGCGGCAATACTCAACTTACGGGCAGGCTCCTGGATGGCGCACTCGACTACCCCCGGAGAGGCATTACGAAACCTGCCCGTGCCGCCAAGTCCCCATCAGCGACGTTCATGAGGCTTTTCGGCTTATGCAGACAGGCCGACACACTGGCAAGCTGCTCTTCTCATGGACGGACGACATTACAGTGCCGGTGCGGAGTCCAAACATTTTGAGCATCGTGGCTTCCTCTCCTAATGCCACACTCCGTCCCGGCGCCATATACCTTCTTGTCGGCGGGCTTGGCGGCATCGGACGAAGCTTGACCGCATGCTCGTCGCCATGGGCGCCCGAAATCTTTGCGTCATCTCCCGTTCCGGCCTGCGCTCTAAGTTAGCCCGCAGCCTCGCCACCGAGCTCAAGGCCAGGGATGTGAACATCAGCTCGTACGAGCGATGCCACCGACGCTATTCAGCTCGAACAGGCCTTTTTCTGCTGCTTTGGGGAGCTGCCTCCAATCCGTGCCGTTCTTCAGTGTGCAATGGTTCTGCGCGACTATACCTTAGTCAACATAACATTTGACCAGTGGGCCAAGGCTGTACGTCCCAAGACCCAGGCCAGCTTGAACGTTCACTACCTCCTGTTACCGACGGAAATCGATGCTTTCGTTACGCTCGCCTCATTCGCGGGATACTTTGGCAACGCGGGCCAAAGCCACTATAGCGCTGATTGTGCGTTCCAGAATGCTCTGGCACACCACCGATCCGCTGTGGGCCTACTTGCCGTATGAAACAAATTCTCTGATCAAATATACCATAGTACAAACGATTCTTGATGTTCTTTCATCAGGTTCCCGAGTTAAATGCCTCTTACGGAAGACCTCTTCGGTCGATAGGTGTGAAACAAAGGAACCGTGGAAAAGTGTTGGGTTTTCCTTGAAAACTGGGCCAGACTTTGCTTCACCCCATATCAAGCTTTTGGTGGCGGCTGGCCATCAATTCCATTTCCCAAGCTAACCTTGCCTGCACCGTATAGACTGCCGTTCATGAAGATCAGATTAACCTTTGATTATTGCTACGCTACCTATACTCTCGTTGCATTTCGTGGAGGAAACACCACCGCTACTAGTCCGTGCAGAATATTTCAAGAAGCGCCAATCTACCATAAAACCAGCCACGTGGAATGATAACGAAGACCGGAGATATCATATTGCTGAGTGCGACGACCAGCTCTGAATTCTTATCTATCCCACCGATTACGGGTCTTTCCCAATCGGACAAAGCAATCTTGGCAAACAAATGCCAGCTACCGTCTTTCTTGATATCGAACAGCCGTTTTATTACAACTGCCAGACGCTGGTTCCTTCCCTTATCCATTAGGCGACCTAATCAGCTTTCAATCGCCGCTCGTACCACAACCAAGGCAAATCAGCTGACTCTTCTTCACCTCCAGTGACATCCAGTTAAGCAGAGTTGGCCACAGCGGGTGGTTCTGTGCTGTCGTCTCGTCGTACGTTCTCATCAATTCACCTAACCGCCTCAACTCTACAAATCATACAACTCAGGACGCCAGGTTATGTACTGTGTTCGTCTTAGTGATTATTCTTGGACAAAACCCTCACATACGACCATACCCACTGGAGAACTCGGGATCCCGTCCGCTCTCCCATAGATAAGCCAGTGAGGGCCGGATTAGTAGTTGGGTCGGTGACGACCAGCGAATACCTGGTGTTGTATGTTTTTTGCTTCCTTCACGTTTAGTTTTTTTGTATGAGGGAAATCACCAGCTTCGGTCATGGAATCTTATCTCTTGGCGAACCCTTACGAGAGCTGTTGAAGTAGCTTGGCCGTTGGTGACCCTGGCACATTTTGCGTCACCGGCTTAAGCTTATAGCTTTGTTAGCTATGTATTTAACTTCTTGCAGCAGCAGAATCTCTTTTCTTTGCTCCTATTTCCCGAGCCTCTGCTTCACGTGGCGACAAGTCACGAGCTGTTCAACTCTTAGCCATGTGTGAGTGGCTGAGGCATCGTCATTTACTCATGAGCTCATGCTCACTGGCTGTCGTCAGATTGTTTCGCCGTTTAGGTTTGATGCACTGGAGCAGACGGGGCTCTTCTGCTCAACACTTTGACGCCACAAACGATATCATTCCTCTTTGATGTCGCATAACTGACATCACCGTCGTTGAGGCCACAGCAACCAGAAACAAAGACTTACATAGCTATACTAGCGAAGAGTGACAACTACTTTCAATTCAAAACTGTATTGCTGCTAGATGATATGGGGGACGGAATTGTCTTAGGCTTGATCCATCGATCAAGTGACGTTGTCGAGGTCGACGAGATCCAAGGAGGGTAGACCGGAACAGGCCCAACTAATAGTTTGGCACCTGCTCTTAGCGTCGCGTTGGGTCCCAGAAGACCCTGAAGGCGGAAAATTCAAGGCGCTTCCACAATTGCCTGCCTCCCAGAAGACAACGGCGGCATGATGCGTGTGGCCTATAGCCCACATTTTACGCGGGATAAAGCTAAATCGCATTGAGGCCTAGTTGTGAAGCGAAGGAGGTTGCACAAGAGAATCGTAATTACGTGATCCTAATCTAGACCCAGGCTTCTTGCGGCGCCAAGGTAACGGCCAAGCACATATCTAAGCCCCATAAGCTCTAGTGCCTGCTCGGCCGCAATATAGTAGACTCGGAATCGGCCGCTCTAGGAGATGATGTTTTCTATTCTGTTGTTAGGGTTGGCGAAAAGAGAGCAACGCGATGGCACGGTTGGGAGAAGAGTGGTGAAGCATGACGTGCCATCAGCCAGCTAGCTGCACGACAATTGTATAGTACCTCACTCAGCACCAAAGCGCACTCTCGCTTGCTCCTGCTTAAGCCTAGTGCACACCGTCTTATCTCCACGTCGTTGTGCGCGAAGGTTAACAATGCGATATTGTCTTGGTGAGTTGTTACACTCTTACTATAGTGACGTCTTTCTATTCATCCACGTTTGTTCGAGCGAGCCTCATTAGGTAAAGGTCCGCTCACACAAGTTTGTTCCAATTCATGAGCGTCCTGAGCGCGACAGTCTCATCCGGCGAGCTCAAACTTTTGAGCATTTCGCTTGCTGTAAGCCTTCCAGCACCATGTTTCCCTCGAGGAACTTTGGTTTGAAAAGTGCGTTCTGCAAGGCTTTAAGTCTTTGTCTACAGTCATTGGCCATACATTGTGGCGTGTCAGCTATAGATAAGAGTCGGCATGTATTCTTGTTCCCTGGGCTAGTTTTACTTGGCCGGAGACCCTGTTTAGGCCTTCAAGACAAAAACAAGTCTATTGAGACACGAGACCTAGACTCGTGTCAGGAGCCCAAGGAGTATCTCGGTGGGCTCCCTGTTATTCAGACAGATAGGAATAGAAACCTCTATATCGGGACACATCTAAGCGGACCATAAATCGAAGCTGTTTCATACAAGCACTTATCCGTTCGTCCAGTGGTCCTGTTTCTGACTCTTTCACTATGAATCCAGCAACCTTGACTATTCGACCTGAAAAGTTGATAAGCCGAGTAGATAACGGTCTATCCTGGCCGAAAGTATTCTAATTATAGATTTCGGTTACCGCAGTACACTCCTAGATGTTACTAGGAAGATATACTCATTGAATGTTGATATGTGGTAGTTCTGGGATGACATGCACAATAAACCTCAATGTTTCTATTTTGTGACTATCGTTGATTCGCAGTCTGATTTCTCCAAGGGGATGAACCTATTCAAATTTAGCAGCGTCTAAGTGGGTGTGTAAGGTAATTTGCAGCAAAGATGTGCTAGCTTAAGACAAGACTAACCCGGATAAAAAAAGAGATCGAGCTAAAGGACAAGACCAGATCTGATTCTCTAGCTTGGTAGCCTCATAACTTGGGTAATCACAAATTGTTGCAGCGTAAGTGCGGCTCAAAAAAAAAACAGACATACAACACCAGGTATTCGCTGGTCGTCACCGACCCAACTACTAATCCGGCCCTCACTGGCTTATCTATGGGAGAGCGGACGGGATCCCGAGTTCTCCAGTGGGTATGGTCGTATGTGCAAGCGCAGGCTGTGGGCACGATTATAATGTAAGGAAAACAAGCCTCGAAAATGCAGAGAGAGATAAGGAACCAGAAGTTTAATTCAGTCTTTCTTAGGCGTGCGTGAAGTACTCACTCTTTCTCTTCCTCAAATATCGGTTACCTGATCCCCGTAGTCGTTCCCATTCATAGAAACAACACATCATAAAGGGCATGCTGCAGAACCAAATGACGCACCGCGCAACGATACGCTTCTTGTGCGGAGCATCCCGGTCGACCGAAAATCAGCGTCATGCCCGGAGCGAAGCTGCGTTGGCAGACGAATACACACACGGCAGCATAGGGAAGAGGTGAAGATTTAATTATGCAAGAATAGATTGGAATTAATTGGATTTTGTTTCGCGGATAGGGCAACTGAAGAACACCTATTGTTGGGGATCCTGACTTGCATCCGTACGGCTTAGAATGCAGCTATTACAGGAGGCAAGGCTTGTAGAGTGCCCCCGTATGTTAACCAGGATGTCCGGTCGGCTGCGGAACTTCTCCGCCGCAAGGGAATGGGTATGAGCCGACATCAAATTTCCCGACGACTACTGTGGCTGAGGGTCGGGTTACGGCGTGGCCGTGGCGGCTTTAAAATCGGAACATTGATGGCCCGGCGGTTCGATTCGATCACGCTTTGAGGGGAAGAGGAACGTGCCCGAGTTTCACTGTGACACCGCGGCTGTAATGGAGCACCCGAGGGCGGGGGAGCCAACATCACTATCTCAGTTGGACCGAACATCGTCACCACCACAAATGAAGTGCATTAGTCAACACCAGCGAAACACATACCCAGACCAGCAACATGTCTCATAACGAGACAGAACTCAAAGCGGCAAAGCAGGCTCGCGCTGCTCACGCACGCACGCGTATAGCAGCGGCCAAGGTCAAACGCGACAAGCTCAAGGCCGCCAAGCAGGCGCGAGCCGCCCACGCCCGTAGCGCTAAAAAGACCAGTCAGCATCCCCCATCTGTTGTCAGTTCACGGCTAACTGAGGATGCAGATGCGAAGGCTTGATCGGCTGCGGGCGTGCTGGGCTGAAACGATATCAAGGGGTACATGGGCTTGAATAGCCTTTTCAGGTGTAAGTTATTAGTAGCCTGTTCCTCCGAGGGAGAACAAGGTGCAAAAGACAGCGTAGAATATACCGAGGGGTCCAATTGTCCAACGAAGACAAGAGGGGAGCCTTAATAGGATATTTTGCCAATGCCGTTGATAAGTTTCCATGCGAGGTGATTTGCACAGTATCCGTGAGCCAGTCTGGAGAGACATGGGACGATGGCCGCACTTCTGGATAGCAGGTTCTGGGAATCGCGGATGCATCATTGACTATTACCAGTCCTGGGAAAGAGGAATTAGTTAGTGTCCAGCCATCTCTGGTCAGCGAAGCAAAAGGTTCTGGTGGGTTGTAGCCTGCCTGCAGCAACTGCAAAACAATAGAGTCTTTCTGTATCATTACTTCACTCTGTTTGTTTCCCCGACAAGAAACAGCCTATTATGTCTTCGGGGATTGAAGTAGTCTATCCTATCAAGCACAATGGCGACAAGCTCGAATCCCCAACGCGGTTACGACAAGGATCTAGAAGCAGAGTACATCATCTCAGCCTTCAGAAGCATACCGTTTTGGGTCAAATCTTACTATTAATGGCATCGCTTTAGCCCTAAGTTGTGAAGCCCCCAGTGATGCGTGTACCACCGACTTGCCGCTTTCCGGCAGTTCCGATAATGCCGTCATTAAGCTCTTGGGAACAGCCGTTACTCTCACCATGGCATCTTTCTGTCTATCGTCTATCCTCTCCTCCCTAGAAGTAACCATTGTGACCACGAACAGCGTGGCGTCGTTCCAGTCGGTCGCTGGTTATATATGGGTTGGCTCTTCCTTTATACTCGGATTCATGGCTATGATGCCCGCATGTGGCTCCCTCGCGGACCTCTGGGGCCGCAAGCCCATTATTCTGCTAGTGCTAACTATCTTCCTGGCCGGCAGTTTTCTGTGCGCACGCACCCCATATAAACGTCCTGATCGCCGGCCGCGCCGTTCAGGGTATCGGCTCCTCTGGCATGGGCGTTATGGTCAACACCATAATCTACGACATTTTTCGCCTCGCGAACGCGGCTTGTACCATGCGATTATGTCTCTCATATGGGCCATGGGTAGGGCAGTGGCCCCCGTGCTTGGTGGTGTCTTCGCCAAATTTTTAGTTGGATCATAATAATCACTGTTGCATGGTGGGTGTTACACCATGACTGGATGTGACACTGTGACTGGGCTGCTTTGGTTCGCGAGGCTTTGGAATATATCTGGACCTGGGAGGAGCCACAATCGTTCCTAGGCGTCTTGAAGGCGCCATCAGCTGCTTTCCAAGCCCCCCTCCCCGGTTTATCAACAAGTTTTCCTGCGTCAATTGTCATATAGTATGGTTTCCTATTCTTTCGGCATTGAATTAATTACACCCTGTTAGACTCGATTTACAACAATTCAATTCGCAGCTTTGTAAACTTGGGAAACAGAAGAGTTGTATAGGAAACATTATTGAGTCAAGATAGATCACGTTTTGCTTTTGGACAGTCTTAATCATGTAGTGCTTAAATTCTTGAGCTTTAGCTTATTTCATATCCATGAATCAGCTCTCTGGCATCATTCCCTTGCGGTCAAAATTACCAGCAAGTCGCAAACTCAATTCCAGCCTTCTCTCGCGGTGATTCATTATACAAGATGCCAGCATTGGAACCAAAATCATAATGTTTGGCAGTAGTAATGGCCATAATGAGCCTGCTGTATGGTCTCGGACAGATATTAGGCACTTACCAGCGATCCCCAGAACCCAAAACAGCATGTCCATACCCCTTGTGTTGCTCGTTTGGCATTTAAGAATTACTGTGAGGCTTTGAGACTCGGATCTCTCAGGACATGCAGTGTGTAGCTTCTAGGCCTTTATTTCAAATATCCTGGAATATCTAACAGACTCTGACACCCGCAATGGCCCCAGCGAGCTATCGAAGAGATCGAAAGGCAGCAGAACAGCACGACACCTTATGAAAGCTAGACCTTTCCCAAATTTATTTCTAAAGAACCGGGCTAGTATGTCAAAGAATAGTTCCAGAAACAAATTTATTTTTAGATAGTCACAGCAAAGAAGTGGGGTCTCTGAGTGGCACAGACTAGGTAGCGGAATTCCGCTCCTCCCGCAGCACAACCGAGCTAGGTTAAGCATGCCGACGACAAGGTGTGAGATGACGACTACTCGCACTGCTCGATTTTTTGATTGGGTGGAACGGAGTAGCCATGTGCACTCCAAGCCGTTATCGGTGTGACTCAGGCCCAAAGGTGGCCGTGCTCCCCGCAAATAATAACCGTAAAGCTCAATGTGCTTAAAGCAGCCGTGCCTAATTGTGGAAAACCCCCAACATGGCCCATGGTTATCATGCCAGAATAGTTAGACTTCGCCCAACTGAATCTTTAGTCCTCTGGAACATGGTGCATAAACCACGATTTATTTCTGAGATCGTACTCCAACGCTTCGAGGACTGCGCTAGCGAGAATGCTATTCTTGCTGACTGCTGGACGAGCGATCGGGTCGTCATCATTGCCTGCGAGCCCACGGACGCATACAAAACGGTAACTGTCTCCGTCTCGCCGGCTCTCCAGCTCGACATCCTCTCCCCTGCCGCCAACCCTATTTGGCCCTCCCTCTCCAACGCATCGGAACCCGCGAGGCACTTCTGTAGGCGGAATATTCGGCAGCTGGAACGGCCCAAGTGCCATGATGACAGGGTGTACTGGCCACAGTTCTGGTGCTCAAACACTGGCGTGTACCAGACATACAGCATGTACGACGAAGACGCCAGGGCCAAGGCACAAGAGGTTTTTAACGACCTGGGTGCAGGGTATGCTTCTGCTTGTGTTGCGAGCTGCTCCATCAGCAAGACAAAGACGGTTTTGGACATTTTCCGGGTCAGGCTTCCGGCGACAACGGTATTTGTCGATATGATCAAGGTTTTGGAGCATCAGACAAGGAACCATGATATTCCGCAAGAGTTAAGGATGTATACGAACGAGAACATTTCGGTGCGAAAGCAGAGATATCATGGGCGGCCTGGGGGGTAACGTTACAACTGATCTTTATAGTATGCAAAATGTTCAGTTGCTAAAGGTCCTTAGCCCAACAGCTGAGAGTTATAGGCTGAATCTTAGAAAGATTGAAAGGGAGAACATTGCGCTAAGGAGAATTGTGGACAGGATATACACGGGGAAGAAGCTTGTTAAGCGGTGAAGGTTCCAATTGTATTTCATGGTTCAGTCCCGCAGGCTAGCGAGCGGGTGAAAACAAGTAGGAAACAACCGCCTAGGTAGACGAGCAGCAAATATAATAAGAAGGACAAGACAGGTAATGGTCATGATGATGGTGCCGCAGGAATCATGCGTTGTGTGTCTATCTTCCTATACCCGCCCATAGTTCAATCACAAAGTAGGCAAAGCCCTTACCGTGCTAGCTTTCAATAACACAATATAGTTGAATGAAATTGGAAAGACATCACATATGACACAGTAGCACCACCCAACGCCAACTGCAGATCGTCCTCTGTGAAGAAACGCGCCGATGCGTGGAAATCATCCTCGAAGCCTTGTGAAACAACAGAGCTCCACAAAAGAACGAGTCTCTTTCCCACAACCAACAGCGACGAGACCGCCAACAGCTCAGAAGTTACATTCGATAAGCGAAACATTTTACAACCAAAATGGGTTACCTGTGCCTACGCCACTATTTCCCCTTCTAAATACTGCCGAGTGGATAAGTGTTGGCCAAGGTTACTTTCTACCAGTACGTGCAGTTTTATGAAGCAGGAAATCTTCATACAGTCACCAAAAGACGTGTCTGCTTCAAAGCTGTTCCCAACCAGTCTCTTCATCATTCCTATCCTAAAGGATGTATGAATCGACATTTATAAGTTTGATCCCCCGGGCTTCACATTGGATATCTCACTAAACCTTGGTATTGGATTTTTTAGTAACATCACAAGTTTGAAGTTTCCAACTCATCATCATCCAGGTTTTGCTGGTCCGACCGACTAATCGGTTGTTTAGCGGGCCTGCTTGCCTTGGCCATTCTTGCCATTCTTCTGGGCATCCCTCAGCGCCTGCGCCTCCGCATCCTTTTTCCGCGCGGATTCGACCGAGTGCCACGACGCAAGTTCATTCGCGGCATCTTCACCGCTAACACCCCTGGCCAGCCGCAAGTGATTCAACCTGTGCTGATAGGTGTCTTCTGCCGAGTTGGTTTCGCCTCTTCCTGCCCTGTCGCCTGGTAAAGTATTTGGGTTCTTCTCCTGTGCCTTTTTTTGAGCGGACAGCTTGGATTCGTAAGAGTCCAAAGACTTTTTGCATTCCGGACCACATTTGTCGTTGTAGACTTTGTCCAGGTTGTCTATATAATTTCTGTCATCGGGTCGTAGAGTCTCCTTACTGAACTTTGTGTCGGCGGCTGCTATCTCTTCCTTTGTACCTCTTTTTGGGTTCATCATATTTGCCGGCGACATAGGGTTCGTATTTGCTGGCATATTTCCCGACTTTGAAGTTCCTGAGTTCATATTTGGTTGCTTTGTAGTTCCGGAGTTGGTATTTGCTGGCTTCACAGTTCCTGAATTCGTATTTCCTGACTTTGAAGCTCCGGAGTTGGTATTTGGTTGCTTCGTAGTTCCCGAGTTGGTATTTGCTGGCTTCACAGTTCCCGAATTTGTATTTCCTGACTTTGAAGTTCCCGAATTTGTATTTCCTGACTTTGAAGTTCCCGAATTTGTATTTCCTGACTTTGAAGTCCCGGAGTTCGTGTTTGGTTGCTTCACAGTTCCTGAATTTGTATTTCCTGACTTTGAAGTTCCCGAATTTGTATTTCCTGACTTTGAAGTCCCGGAGTTCGTGTTTGGTTGCTTCACAGTTCCTGAATTCGTATTTCCTGACTTTGAAGTTCCCGAATTTGTATTTCCTGACCTTGAAGTCCCGGAGTTCGTGTTTGGTTGCTTCACAGTTCCCGAATTCGTATTTCCTGACTTTGAAGTTCCGGAGTTGGTATTTGGTTGCTTCGTAGTTCCCGAGTTGGTATTTGCTGGCTTCACAGTTCCCGAATTTGTATTTCCCGATTTCGTATCCTTTGGTGGTTTCGTAGCTCCCGAGTTCGTTTTTGGTTGTTTCGTAGTCCCCGAATTCGTATTTCCTGACTTTGAAGTCCCCGAGTTTGTGTTTGGTGGTTTCGTAGCTCCCGAGTTCGTTTTTGGTTGTTTCGTAGTTCCTTGCGGAGTCCCTGACTTCGGAGTTCCTGACTTCGGAGTCCCTGACTTCGGAGTCCCTGACTTCGGAGTTCCTGACTTCGGAGTTCCTGACTTCGGATTTGCTCTTGGGACAATCAGAAAACCGTTGTTGGGGGGGTTGTAAGTGCTCTCCTTGTTATAGTACTCGTGTGTACGGTCGAGAGGAGCCTTCTCGTTGCACGGCCCGGCATCTTGATTGTCCATATCAAGGACATCCATCACGGTTGCATTTCTTGCTTGAATATGAGGCTTTTCTGTGACCAGGGGTTTAAAATTAATAGGAAAGGTAGTTAAGACATTTTTTCGACTGTACCTTCGTTGCTCCTTTTAATATTGAGACCTTCACTGCGTGAGCCATCTTTGAACGCTTGTGTAGGAGATTGGGAGAGGTTGGGGGGGGCAGCAATGGGAATTGCGGCTACAGACGCTGCAAGAGTCCAAAAGAGGATGAGAGCAAAGTACATCGTGAAAATTTGTTTGTACTACTCTTGAGTAGAAGATTTTGGTTGATGAAGGCTTTAGAGACAGAGACCTAAGAGGAGAAAGAAAAGACGGATTTATTACAACTTTATAATTCTCCGACTAGGCCAGAAGTAAGAACTAGTTGGCTTAATACTGATTAAAGTAGAGCTGTTGTGTGGAATTCCACTTGCAATCGGACAAAGGATTTAAAGTCTATTAAGGTTTTCTTACTTTCTTTCTGGTACCTTGCTGCAAACGCAGATTAGGTTAAGATTTTTAGTGGTGCGGACATTGAGTTGAGCTAGACCGTTGGAGACTCTCAGACACCATGTAGGACGCGTGGCAGCGGGGAAATTCGTAGAAGATAGAAGGTTTACTAATAAGGAGCCAGCAAAAGCGGCAAACTACAAGAGGCTCACCCGGTTTGCCAAAACAAAATCCGTACACTTTAACACAGCGTACCGACAACTCTTAATATTGGGGCGAACTATGTTGAAGAACAGGACAGCACATGAAGGTCGTGAATTCTTAAAATAGACACAATGTAAGATTTAGAACTGAATATAATTTAATAATATTTTATTTGAGTTTTTTAAGTCTCACGTAGTAACGTAGCTGCATAGTAAGTGCATGCCTTGTTAGGTGTGCGGGTTTTGTGCAAACCGGGTGAGGCTGACGCAACTGGCAACACAGAGGGAAGGAGAGCGCAGCTGACTTTTGAGTTTTTCGTTCGTTTCTTCCGGTTGGGTCTGCGAATACCGAGCAAACAATTACCTGAATCTCTTGAATGAAGCTATTTCCTCAATTCCCGAGAGTTTAATTCTTCGGACGGTCTCTCCGTTATATTACCCCGCCTTAGAGATTTGGTAGGGAATCCGTGTGCCATTGGGTGGAGAGGGGGAAGAGCGTGCAGCTTATTAGGCAAGGATCCCTAATCACTCTTATTCTTTCGGTGTTGTGTTTCTTGCGTATGAAACGTACAGGTGGCATGGGGCTGGAGGTGGTGCAGGAGGTCGCTGCAGGCAGAGTTGTGTGGGCTGCCATTGAGGAAGATCGGCTATTAGAGTTTGCCCTAGTGCAGGGGCAAAGAGAAAGAAGATATAAACTTCAACTTACTCGCCAAGCAGGGCTGGAGGATTCATTTGGCATAAGCCTAAACTTACTTGTAAAGCAGGGCTTAAGGAGGCGCGTGCTGATAATATCAAAAACCATCCCGACTAAGTGGATAGTAACGGATTTAGAGCCCGCACAATATCACGGTGCTTATCCCAGCCCAGTGCCTAATTAACAGGCGATTTAAGGCTGTTCCCAGTAGATCGATCGGAATTGGGGCTTGATGTAGGGGCGGCGCGAGGGTCTAGACAAGCGCTTCAAGGATCAAGGTGCAGTGTACTAATCATGCCTAGCTAGGTAGGACAGTGTTACGGTCAGATATCCGACAGTGGTGCTTTCTGCTAACTGGTAGCTGAGGCCGATACTCAATGACAGTAATGGAAGTCTTATTGGTAATCTTGTTGGTCTGATGGTGCTTGGTGATCAGTTAGGCAGTTTAAGGCGTAGGTAGCTCGTGTAGCTTCACGACAGAAGGATAATATAAGAGTCACTTATGAAAGAGTGAATCACGAAGTTGATTGATGAAGAGCTATGGAAGTCTGTCCTTGAGTGCGTTCAAGTCAATCCCATATACAAGTCTGCATTCCTAATATACTTTCGCGACCTTGTAAGTCTATTGGGCCCTGATCAATTCTTTGTTCCATTGATCGATCATTAAACTCACAGACCGATCAGTGGGTCTTTCTAAGTGATCAGCTTGTCTTTTCTGCACGTGACTTATAACTTATACCATAGTTCTTCCGTGGCCAAGGAGTCAGCTGTCTGCCCTCGTGCCCTGTCTGTACAAAAGCTGTGGTCGCCCGTTGCTATTGCATGGTGTTGGGCGCTAGCTGGTTTTCTTAGTTGCAGAAGTCGCGTAACCACGGAAAAACTAGACTCTGGTAGACAAGGAGCTTTTTAGTCTAGAGTAGAGACTGCGGGAGGCCCTGTATAGAGCTTGTAATAAGGAATAGGCGCTGCACTAGACATCTGGAGTTGCCGCCTGTTGGATTGTTAGCTGAAAGAACCTAGATTAGCTGTGAAGCTAACATTCTAAGGATGTTTATGATGGCCGATTTGGCGAAAACGTATTAGAGTTGAGCATGTTGTGCATCGTCTATGTATCCTTATTTTGACTTTATCTTATTAGAGTTAGGCCGACAAGAAGATCGTTGTTGATTAATTACTTGTGTATGCACAGTTACTGCGCGGAAGTAAGGTAGGTGATAGGCTCCTACTCTGTATTCGGTGACGAACGCGTCGAGATAGGCCTATCGTGTGCAACTATTGGGTGTAAAGCCTCTCCTGCCCTACTCTATCTGACCCTGGCCGCCTAGGATATCTTGACGCGTTCCCTGAGAGCTCTATTGGTTGTAATCCCTTACTGTCCTACTTTGTCTGGATGCGAAACCTCAACGCATTCTCTAGCCTTCTCCTGAGGGCACAGACTGGATATTCGGCCCTCGGTTGTCCATTGAGGGGATAAAAGTATATTCATGCCAAACTGACTCAGGGATGTACGGGATCATATATCTCGTGTACGAAAGCCAAGTCTTGTAGTTAGGAAGATAATCACGGAAAAATACATCTTTGGTTCACCCTAACTTTAACCCAAGTACGATCGTACACACGGGTTCTCTCAGGAAGAGAGAATCCATTCAACACTTTGTAAGGATCTTGAGTCTATATACTAAAGTAGCTTTCTTTTCGTGTAGGAGTTCTTCCGCAGAGGCAATACTTTCTACCTTGTCGGTTCTGTCCCCAACAACGACAGTGCGGGTGGCTCGTTTGCAAACGAACTCAAAGCCTGAATGGAACAGATCAATGCATTCAGCGAGAAGGTGACCTTTTCTGATGTCTTCAACAAGATTCTGGCAGCTCAGACGAGCACGTAGGCTGAGGGCGAGGTCAAGGACTGACCCAAGTTCACACAAGATTTGATGCAGATCCTGCTGCCTGTGGACCACGTATATTTAACGAATCTAGACATGACCAGTGGACTACCGCTGGTTGTTTAGAATGTGCTGGCATCCGTGGCGCCGCAGGCTATGAGCAACGAAGCCATCACGACCGAGCTCCTCACGTCTGTTTTACAAAACAGACTTGGCTTCGCACAAGAGCTCTGAGCCGACTGGGAGGAAGCAGATTCAAGTCTGAGCACAAGCCGCACTGCGCTCCATCGACAAGGATTCCGTTGGAGAAGCCCACATAAGCGATGTGTTTCGGGGAGGCGATATGCCGACTACAGACAAGCACAAAGTCCAGGATAATCAGTTAAGATTTGCCCTAGCGGTTGCGCAGATCGGATGTAAGGAAGTTAATGTGTGGAACCGGTAACCTAACTATTTAAAGCGCCTATGCTGCGCCCAGCTGAAGATACGAAGTGGACTCACTAGGGTGGATCTGTGCCGGAGCACAAGATTGCGGGTGTTCGGCTCTGGCAAGAAGACTTGAAGCCGGCCCAACCATCGTGCTTTGTAGAAGGCACACTGGTATTAACCAGTCAAGGTTCATTGCCCATTAAGACTTTGCGAGAACATGATCGGGTGCTGACCCGAGCCGACACGAACGAATGAGGTCTTGTGTCTAGTGAAATCGTCTGCACGCCCGTCCGAGGAGGACAAATCACCCTCTGCGCCATCCAAGACGAGCCAGCATTCTTCACACCGAATCACCCCTTTGTCAACAAGTTTGGCAAAGTTCGCGCCGTGGACCCTACAGCAGCTCATCAAAAGAATCCTTGGCTTGAGGTCGGAGCGCTCGAAGTCCGGCACGTTCTTTTGCACACGAACATACACTGAAGTTCCCATCCGAAGTCTTAGACTAGAGAGTATCAATTGCGAATTCGTTCGCGGAGTGCATCTGCGTGAAGGCCTTCGAAGCTACCACGCCAATGGGTATCTAGTGCGAATGAACTATCCAGAGATTACGATCAAAACCATCGCCGATGCTCTTCGACAGATTCCACCCACAAAAGAAAGACAAAGCAACTGTTACTTGATATCAAGAACTTTTGGAAGGCTAGCGTCAAATGGGACGGCATGGTGAGGGCGCCACTGACTTGGAAGAGCTGCGTAGAATGCAACAGGCCGGCAAACGTGAGTTATTAGATTGTGCCGTCCAAGTAGCCGGATCCTCCGCTATATCAGGGTAAATGACCGATCCAGTCGCAGTCTAGCATCCAGCAAAATATAGTCCTGATGTTCGCGGGTGTTCCCATCTAGCGGTAAGTCAAGTCACCCACTTCTGGGCACCCCACCCATGTGGGCACCCCAAAAATCCCTCAACACCATGACCAGCCTCCCACTTCAAACTATCACAACATTTTCATCCCTTATCCAGATCACTTCGTCTTTTGCAGATACCTTCTTCTATACTTTATGGGTTAACATACCGAGTATGAGGTTAGTAAGGCTCTTGGGGATATCGCCAACGGCGTCCTTGTCCAGGCAGCATCTAGGAAATGGGGCGTCCCTCGGTCAACACTTCAGAATCACCTCAAGGGTATCTAACTTAGAGATATCGCATTTACTGACCTCTAGTGGCTCTCTGTTAGTTAAGAGGCTAAGCTGGCTAATTAGGTATAGATACAAGCTAACCTTAGGCTTACGCTACACATTAACAAGTCAAGGTTTTTGCTTAGCGTATCTTTTATGCTATAGGCAATACTTAGCCTTTAAAGAAGAGATAAATAGACGCTTTTATATAAAAAAACCTATTTATTAAGGTCTAGAGAAGTTAATCTATTAATTCTAGATATATTAATAAGGTATTTATTAAGATTATTAGGGACTAGTTTAAATATCTTATAATTTTATTAATATTAGTTATTTAATTAATTAATAAATATAATATAAATAAGACTAGTATCTTTAAAGGTTAAAAAGTAAATAAGCTAATACTAAATAAAATAAAAATAAAGTTTATATATAAAAAATAGCTTAAATTATAAGCTTAAGTATTTATTATTAAATATATCTTAGTTAATAGCTTAATATTATATTCTCTTATAATATATAAAAGTAAAATAGTTTAGTAATAGTAGTTTGTTTTAGATTTTAGCTTTTATAATAAATAAAAGTTTATAATAATAAAAAATAAATAAATAACTAATAAAACTATTATTAAGTAGCTAGTTATTAAAAGTCTTTTTATTATAAATTACTTTTTTTTAGTTTAATTAAGCTAGACTACTAGTCTTAGATAAATATAAGAGTTATATAATAATAGAATTTATATAATAATACTATATTAATAACGTTTATTTATTATTTTTATTATTATATACTTTTTATATTTTTTAGTAATTAAATTAATTAGTTTTTAGCTTAATTAAAATAGCTTATTATAAAAAACTTTAACTTAACTTTAGTTAATAAAATAATTTAATTATAATAAATAAAAAATACTTTTTATTTTATTATTAGTTAATATATTTAACTAAGTTAATAAAAAAGAATATTTTAAGTAACTAAAAATATATTAAATTATAACTTATTACTATAAATAAACCTCTTATAAGCTTTTTACTATTACTTAAAGTAATAATACTAGTAATACTACTTAATAAAGCTACTTAAAGTACTTAAAGTATTTAAAATACTTAAAATATAAAAAAATAAATATTTACTTTATTTATTATTATATAGTTTATACTTAAAAAAATAAAAGACTTTAATAGTTAACTAGACTTATTTAATAAGCTAAATTAAAGTATTACTATATAACGCTAACTCTTTAAAAAGGTCAAAAAAGGCTTCTAAGAGTAGTCCTTTTAGCTAGCTATTGCTTACTACTAGATATAGCTTTTCTAGGCCTAAATCAATAACACTATAACAAAAAAAAAGAAAATTATTAAAATTAACCTTAACACTAAGTTCGCTAATATCAGCAATATACAGTAAGCCTAGATCGAGGCTAGCAATACTGAAATTGACACAGATGAATCCAGCGCATCTGATTGCCCTAGTGAGGCAGAAAGCTGTATCATAGTTGCATCTGGGCCTTGGCGATAGTCAATTGAAAAGGGTGGTGTTGTTGCGATAGCTTCGTTTTGTGGGTGCCCACATGGGTGGGGTGCCCAGAAGTGGGTGACTTGACTTAATGGCGGCGCTGACGTGCAAAGAGGATTTGAACAGTTTGCCAAGAAATATTTATTGAAAGGTTCTTCATGGGCTGCGTATTTCCGCGGGGGTTTGCCTACTGTGGCCAAAAACAAAAAAAAGAATCTTGCTGTTATGTAAATTTAAGAAGACAAGAAATAGATTCCCTCACAAGACCATAGAGAGATTGACGACAACGCGATACTCGTCTTTGCAGCGCTACTAACAACCAACACCCTATTTCTGTATCGTCTAATCTCGGGTTAATTGTATCTGCGTTACAAATACCACAATCAAAGCCTTGTTCTTGTTCCATACAAAGCGCAACTCAGAGCTTTATACTTCTCCATGACTGGAGTGGACGTTGTTAACTCTTTCTACAACTTTGCAAATCAGTCAACTCTAGTCTTGCCCCAGAATTGTATTGGGCTACTCCTTGGCATTATCACTCGCTTGCTTTTAGTGTGAGGTTCAGCAACTAGCTCTAAAATCCTCAAGCGTCTCAATATCACACCCTCTGCAACCAGAACTGACCCCCTAGAGAGCCGCTGAGAAATGTTATGAAAGCTTTTGTCTTCAATCCCAAGTACCATTAATTACTACACTGCTGTAGAACACCTCCCCAGTAAGAAAGGGAATCTATGTGCTAATAAAGCTTACGTTGCCCAAACATTCTTACGGTGCCACCGCCCCATTTTTACCAAAGCCCAGCACCAACATGACGGTTATAATCATGACCAGTCCAATAGATATAGTCCGTCGGAGTGCTGGAGAGAGACGGTCTTCGTCAAAGGCTTTTGAGTTCCATATAGCGTGGATCCAAGTGGAATTACTAGCACCCGAAATCTTGAGCTGGTCCCAGCCAACTGAGTAAATGACTAGGCCAAATAGGGCGATTGCGTAGCCAACGAATTGCATGAATGTTACACTTATATGCCAGATAAAGATTGCAGCGATAATGAGAAGTATGTTCTTGAAGATGCCGCTCAGGGTCATGACAAGGCCGGACGTTTTGCTGATCTGATTGTCTCAATACTTATCCGAGCTTACTAGAAGAAGAGTTCTTACCAGGAAGACGCTCGAGACATTGAGCATAAATGCGACACCAGCATTAAGCAGTAGCATGAAGACCCCCGTCCTTTGAAGGTCTTGCATTTCGAAGGTGCTGAATTCGCTAGCCCAGGCGACGATGAAATTCATCACAGCACAAACCGGGGCATAATAATAGAGACTGAGGAGGGGATCCATCTTCTGCACGTTCTCGTCGCCCTTGAGCAGAACCTGGATCATGACTAGACGAACAGCTTCAAAGACAATACCGCCCATCTGGAAAACGAAACCGATCCATGAGAACTCAATCTCTCCAAACGAAGCGAGTCCGACGCCGGCAACGATGAGCAGGATATTGTAAAGGGTCTTCATAGAAGGGTCAGCAACGCCCCAGATCCAGCTGACGAGGAGCACGACAACGGGCGCCGCAGCCTTGAGCATCTGAATGAATGGGACGGAGAGATAGAGGTACACAAGGTTAGAGCACACAAGGGAACCGGAGTACAACAGGCCAATGGGAACGACAGCACGCAGATAGACGCGCCATGTCATTTGAACCTTATGACGACCGGCAAGGAGGGAGGTGGTCCGAGCCAGTAGCTGCGTCGCCAGCGTCGAGAAAACAAGGTGCCAGCATGTTAGAATAACAGCTGAGGTTGTTAGTCTTCGCACGTTGCAGTGGCTGACTATGTGAACGTACGATATTCTGCGAGATATTAGTTACAAAATAGTGCATCGCAGACAAGTTCCCTACTGAAGCCTGCTGTGTCAATGAGCCATTTATTGAACAGGATGGTGAGGTTGGAAAACAAAATCCAACTCCTGAGAATGGTCAGCCATGCTCAGACTTTTCGAGGGGGTGGCACGTACGCAATGAAAAAGGCAGAGTGAGAGAGTCGAGAGCCGGTAGGCTTCTCCGTCGTTGGCGACGTACTCATAGCTGCGTCCTTACCCTGAAGAACAACTAATAATATCACAGGAATGTGACCAAAGAAGGTGTGAATAAGGTCAAGAGCGGTCGATGTCGTCGAGGATGTTGTAATGAGGACGATAACGAACACTAGAGATGGATGAAGATCGGACAACGAGGAAATTGTGCAAAAGATTACGGAGATCTTCCTGGACGAATGATTGGAGGAGCGACAAGGAACAGGCGCGGCGATGAGCTAAGACAGAACGTGGTGGTGATAAGAAAGTGACGAGATGAAGAGAGAATCAGGCTTGAAAGCTGAAAGATATGGCAAGAGGATGATGTAATGAGCGTTCTGTGGTTTTTTTACTGGAAGCCCGCCGCTGAAGCAGCTCAGCAGAAACATCAACAGTTCCGAGCTGATTTCTTTTTTCTCCTCTAGGAGTATTTGTGGTTGGCCTGAAAAATAGAAAAGGTACTGTCGCCTGGTGAAGTGGCTCCTTCTTAGCCTGGGCTGACTTGAAACTGATAAGGGCTGGCTGAGGCGAAGGGGGCTTTGGAACACATGGAGGAACAAGGAAGTAAAGACGCAGACCGGATCACTATTCCATTCGTGCAATAAGTACTGCTTCTCAGAGAAGCGAGCAGAATGTACTGCCGGCTACAGTGACGGGCTGTACTAAGTTGACTAAGGAGTGGCAAAAAACTTGTCAGAGGCAGGTGGCTAATCTAATCAGTTAACTGGAGGTAATGCCGCGTGTCGCGAAGTTGGAACCTGGCCATCGACGCTTGAAACAGAGAAAACAAATACTGCAAGACACAAATTCTGGGCCAAGGGATGGGCAAGGGTTCAGTTACCAACATCGGCGGCAAGGAGAATAAGTAACAGAGAAATTATGAGTTTTGTTGGCTTGCTTAGCGGGAAGCTAAATGCAAGGGTACTCACTACCTGTGCCACAAAACCAGCGCCTATCCTATTCTCTCAATCAAACCGATCGAGTAAGGATGCAAAGCAGAGACTACACAGCACTAATACTGCAGGGCGAAGCAACACAGAAGCGCACGGACATCTTATGTTAATGTGGTAGAGCATCTATCGCCTGTATGCTTGTGTAGTAATTACGTACGGACCCGAATTGAGACTCTCGAAACTAGGTCTGTCCTCCCTTGCATCCCCGAGAGTGACCAAGCCCCAGTATACCTACCAATGGGGCATAACAGCTGCTAACATAAAAGCCATACCTGAGACTGTCATATCTGACTCATGCAGATACTATGGATTATAAAATTAGTCACTGCTGCCGATTCGCGGCCAGTCTCAGTTGATGCCTGGCAGCCCCTGTAAGCTGTCGCCTCGTACAATAATTAGCTCTACGCCACTAACCGCAAGGGGTCTCTCTCCGCCCTGTGCCGTATCAATTACCGAAGAAGCTTCATAAGTTGTCCGGTTCATCCTCCTAGGAAGCAAATCTGGTCACGGCCTGGTGTTATGGCCAGATATCGTTAGATCGTAATACCTGGTGTGTCTGGCCTGCAAGCTAGGTGAGCAAAGGGATTACAGACCGCGCCAGTACATATCTGGACTGCTAAACGAAACCTCGGTGCGGTGAAAATAAGTCTCCATCCCAGTAATAAGGCTACCTAACCGCGGCGAGACATGAATGAACCAACCCTTAAATGTTAGACACCGACACAACTTTGGAGACGTATTTGGGCTTCGATAGTCAAGTCCAGCTTAGGTCGGCTCATATTGATGCAGCACGTAATCCGGCGAAGACTTTCCCGTCTCTTTATCATTGCCAATTTCGCCGCATTGTTGCAAGATAGCCGCTTGCGTTCTGTTGACTCTTAGGAAGCCCTGAGCCCTGAAGGTTCTGTTCTTTTGGGCACATAACACTAGCAACTGCCATGAATCAACCCATATCAAGACATCAGATCAAGTATCTGACGCTGGTCGCCGCGCTCGCCTTCATCTGGCTGGTATGGCGTCTCGATCTTCATCGAGAGGTTGTCGAACAGGCGAAAAAGATCCCACATCCGCACTGGGCGCCCTACATTGGTCACGATCAAGTCTCCAATGAGATTCTCGCTCCCGAGCAGGCCACTGAGTACTGCGATCACTTCCGCTTGGAACCAGCCAATCATGAGATGGTCCGCAAGCGTAAGGTCTTCGACTTGCTCTTGATCAATACTGAGATCGAGATGCTCGAACTCCGACTCGGCCAGATGGCTCCTTATGTCGACTACTTCGTCATCCTTGAATCCGACAAGACCTTCACTGACCACCCTAAGCCACTGTACGTCAAAGAGAACTGGGATCTTCTTAAGCCGTGGCACGACAAGATGATATTACGCACTATGGACCTCAACGCCTTCAAAGAGGGTTCGACCTGGGACCGCGAGACCAACAGCCGCAATGCTATGTTTTCGCAGGTCATCCCTGGTCTTAAGGGTGCCCAGGCCGCCTCATACGATGACATCATTCTCGTGTCTGATGTTGACGAGATACCAAAGCCTGCGACTCTCCGGGCATTGAGAAATTGCGTGGTTCCACCGCGGGTGTCCATTCACTCCCAAATGTACTACTATTCGTATCAATGGAAGGCTCGGAACGACTGGAGTCACCCGCAGGCAACCGTCTATCAGGGCGATGATACTGTCTTGCCCCATGATCTCCGTCACAACGCGAACGACTACCACTTCTATCAGGGTGGTTGGCACTGTAGCTACTGCTTCAGCACTGTCGAGGAGATGGCGCAAAAAATCAACTCATTCTCTCACGCCGAGCTCAACAAGCCCGAGTTCAAGGACCCTGACTGGATTGTGACGGTCTCCCGTCGTGGACTAGACATGTGAGTCATTAAGTGACGTGCTTGGGTCAGCAACTGACTATACACAGCTTCGGCCGAGGCGACGCCAATTATGATCGCATCGACGAGAATCTCGACGTTCCACACTACGTCAGGCATAACAGGGACAAGTTCAACTTTTTGCTCGACCGCGACCCACCTAATGGCAACTTCAGAGACTACACTCCCAAGTTGATGGAGACGACTTTGCCCTGATGTTGTCGATATGGCCTAAAAAGCGGCGAAATGCACCTGGCGTTCGCGTTTTCCGGGTACATACACGCAGTATGCTTCTTTTGTGCACCCATCTTGAGGCATCTTCTTCGCAAATATTGAGGATTCGGGTTGGTAACCACCGGCATAATGCCACGTACTGATTATCTTGTACTGGGGATCACTAAGGCGAGCCAACTCTGAAGTTTGTCTAATAGTCCAATCATCAAAATTATACTTGGTTTCTTAGTATTGAATGAAGTATTTGGTAAAGAAGTTACAGTGTCCTTTTTAGGATTAGTTATCCAAGCAAAGCGTCCTTAGTTCGATCTTGAAGGCCGCTCGCTATTCCACATACTCTACAAGGAAATTAGCATGACTCCCGGTTCATCTTGTCCATAGCTGAAAGTATAAATTTTGTTAGTCAGAGAGGGGCATCTCCCTTCTTTGTTTCCCTCGGCAAGTTGAAATGTTTTTCTTATCATCAAACTCTTTACGGCAGCTAACGGAACCAGTCCGAAACGACAAAGCCGATGGAGACGTCGAGTTGAGAGGCTGATTGATGGTGAGCTAGACATGTCCAAGAACCTAAATGGCTTATGTTTTACGAACTAGGAATATGGAAAACAAGGAGAAGCCAGACAATGGGCTATTGAAGTAGCTGTCCTTATCCAAGCGGCTCAGGGTCATGCCGACGGATTCAGCTCGGTGTGCCAGGATTAGTACTGCACAACTGGTTACTGGCAGATATCTATGGGTAATTGACGTGTTGAACTCAATAAAAAAATACACCCACATGTATGGAAGCTTACTGATGTGTTTGTTCATCACGCCTTGGTGTAACACAGAGCCCGGTAGATCTCCTAATGTCAAGGTCCAATCTAACCTCGTAGTGGTTCCATTACGCCATCTTTTAGTGCTGTCCAACGAAAAGCGATCCCGAATGGCTCTTGTGGAGCTCATTGGTCACTTTTTGTTTGCCATGGCCATGTCAACGATGCCAACTTAAGACAGAAAGAGCCATCAGCCGAGGCACCATGACTGAGTGGGATTGGAGTCTAACTCTTGGTTCGGTCGCAGTAGTAATACCATGGAATTTGTAAGACCCCGAGCCAAATAGGATTCAAGAAGCTGCCGGAGAAGTGATCGCGGCACAGTCTCCTCGCGGGATCAGCATTCGCTGCCATGAGTCTCACTGCAGCCGGACGAAAGTAGGGACGCCATGCAGTTGTACAGCTAGCAGATGTGTGTCTTTTAGTCTTCCGGAAAAGTTCAGAACATGCGTGCAACAGTATCCAGTAAAAATGTGCGACCCAAGGATTGAAACCAGAGACTTAGCATCAAGGTGAAGTCGATACTCAGGGACGCTACGCCCTGCCAATTTTGAAGGAAGATAGGGCTTGAGACTTGTTACTCGAGTGTACGTTTGGGAACAGCAGAAATTCGGTCGTGAGCTGCGAGAATCCAAGAGAGATGAATGTACTGAGAGAATATGCACAGGCGTAATGGACATTATTCGCTGGCTTCCTAACGGTGCCGGTATTTAAAGAAACCTACCATCAAGTCGTAGAACCAGAAGTGGGTCTAGCGTACCATTGCAGAGCTGTTAGCCACCTGGAGTGGGTACAGCGCCGCACCGGTGGACCGGGGGAGCCGAAGACCGGGAGCCCGGGAATCTAGGAACCAACGTAGAGAGTGGGTCATGTTCGATTCTCCGGCTGCGGGAGATAGGCAGCACCGGGGGGCAACTTGCAAGCAATTACAATGGCCCATATCTCGGCCCCTACCCGCGGGGAAGGTGGAATGCAGGCAGGATATTACATGTAGACCGTTTGAGGATGTGCCTACACCGAAAGAAGAAGGTCTCAGTCCCGGGGACAAAACTTAATCTTGACATAACAAAATCTTTCTTTCGACGACGTTGGTTTATTGTTTGACTATGAACACCCGTATGGGATTTTGTGGTTGACATCACGCCACCACTGACCATCAGCTTGCTGCAACTTACAGCTAAAGTATCAGGACACAGCGGCCCTAGCAAGTCTGCTACTTTACTACTTGCTGACATCTAGAATATTAGTAACTCCAAAGGTTTGAGCGGAAGGCAAATTGGGAAAGGCAGCATCTAGGAATCCTAGCAATACTTTCACATCTTCTCTGTCCAGCGCCAACGCCGCAGTTGCATCATACGTATAGTGTAACAGCATCCAAGCAAAGACAAGCCTGAGTATCGCCGACTTTCTGAGCTGATAACCATACGGCTGTCCAAGGAGCTAGTATCACAGGAAAATTTATACCGACAGAGCATAGGAAACGTAAAGGGACATGGTAAGAGGCGGAATCAAGACAGGGATTCTCTAGTGACCTTATGTCTCATCGTGACTGACTGTTTGGACGACTGCAATCACCTGCCAGATCAGAGATTTGAGATTTCTTAGGACTCTCTTCTCAACTACGTCACTCACAAAGAGCCGAAGTGTTCAATCAAGATGCTTGCCTTCCGTGGTCCAAGTTATAAGGCTATCAAAGTACGACATTTATCAAACATGTCCTTTTATCCAGTCTCAGCGACACCAAGATTCAGCCGATTTATTTGTTCGATTTCTGGCAGCTTTCCATCCATATGTTTCGAAGCACGGTTGTACCAGCCGTCAGCAGTGATACCATGAGTTTAGTAGTTCTTATTGAGCCGCGATTTCATAACACTATGTCCCTATTAAATGAAATCAATGGAAAGATGCAAGAGAACCCCTTCGCATCAGTACCACATAGCATCACATCCTGTGAACATTGGCATCGCGAAAAGCACAAAACGAGAACTGGACCCAGCGTTAAATTAGGGACTACCTCATGGGAGAAGGCACGACCAATGGAAGCGAATGATTGATCCGCGTTGAGAAGGCGATCTAGGGTTCCTAGGCGTTGAGGAGCGCCACAATTCCCACGATGGCAAGTTCGGGGAACACTGAGGCCATAAACGTAACTAGTTTACCAGTGCGACATTCTTGGATGGTACATTTATTAATGAGAATGGGGGAGATTGATCAAGCCAGGTGTGTTGACTACGCCCTGTAGCTAGCCTTTTCATCCAGAATAGAGGCAAGTAGACCGTGTTGGCAGAAAAGGCCACATTTTGGAAACTCGGGTACAGTAGTTATATCACGGTTAGAGGCTTGTCGTTGTCTCTAAGATGAAAAGTTGAAATCTCAAGGAAGTGGATGCTCACCTAGAAAGAGAACCGTTAAAGGACGGAATGAGTCAGGCAAGTTGGCAATCCGCGGAGCGTTGCTGAGGGTCGAAGCATTTTATGTCCAAATCTGCTTCCCATGCTGCCAATCGAGGATGACTCTGGGAGCGAAATGGAGTATAACCGATTGTTCGGACACCGCCAGCAACCGTATCGTGTGTGAGCTTGTTATAAGTCTCATTTTGTGGGCCTCTTGGACCTTCTGAAAAATGGCAAGTGCATTTGCGAGTCTCTGGGCATGAGAAAAAATCGCCCTTTGAAGGGCTCATCAGCATAGAGCAGAAGTGGTCAAGCAAAGGTCACCGAATATTAACATATCTATATCCGTTTAACTTGCACGGTTAAGAAGCTTTTTGTTGAACGGTTTGTAGGAAACGTTGCATTGGTCGTACAGCCGGGTCCAGGACTATATTCACTGCTCTGGCAGGAGCCACGTGCTTTGTGTTCCAAAGCGCGAACGCTTTGAGAAAGACTACAATAAGGTCTGGTCAACCTTGGAAAACCCCAATAAGGTCGCATCAATTTGATGGGTAGGTTGGTGCACATCTCAGCTGTTTGGACAAAAGGTACATCCAACGGTATCCTCTAGCACTGTCTAGATAATAGTGATTACCCTCCATGGTGATCAAATCACGTAACTCTATGTATCTTTAGGAGTGGACTATTCATGACATTGAGGATTCAAAGCCATGATCAACACTTCGGCGTTGAGATATATGGTTGAAGTCCAACAGTGAGCTGTCAGTGAACCACGTTCTAAAGAACTGATAACCCAGTTTGGTTTCCGCCCCGAATGTGTTTTGAGTGGAAAACCAGGACGCAACATAGTAGCTTCTCTACATACCGCCAAATCAGAACCTCGCAAATGCATCGATCGAACTTAAGCGCTATCCTAGGCAGGTGAATTAGGGTTGGTCCGTCCAAAAAACCGTTTCTAGCCAGGGCCCTGGCAGACCCAAAGTTTGAGCTTGCTATGCCGTAACAGAGGCCTGAATCGGTAAGGGGATAGCTTTGGTATCTTTAAAAAAGATTCTACTTGAGGTGTAGCCAGATCAAGGTGCAGCCAAGGCAGCGGCCAGCCCCGGGAATAATTGGAAAGCTCAATATCAGTGTAGTCCCTTCCCAGCAAGTAGCAATGTGTTGCGTCTTCCTTGGCTTTGCAAAAGAGGAAGCACTGCACTTAGCGTCTCGCTATTAACAAATATAGATGCGCAGATCCAATGGCAATCAAATATGCCATCTTTGTCGCTATCTTCAGCGGTCATAGACCGGGGCAAGAACCACATCCAGGGGTATACAAGGGTAGTATCTGCTAAGAAATGCCGTGTCTGTGCAGGAAATGGCGAAGAATCGGCCAGAATGCGAGAGTAAGCATCAGCACGTTGAATATGGATGATGCTGCATCATATGGCGGAGAAAAAGTTGATCCCTCCCCTCGAAACGTCAAAAAGGGTATCAAAAGGGGACAATGTAAATCGTCGTTGTTCGATCATTCGCGGCTTTTAAGTCAAGGGTTTCCTGATCACCTTGTGTACTCTGCTTTCACGTAAGCCTAGGGAAGTTTTTCGGCCTGTGGGATCAGATACCTTGTTCCATCCCTCGGAATCCCCCCCCCCCCCCCAACGAGAAAGAATTCTTCTACGAAGCACTTGGCGTTACTCTATTCATAGCCTCGCTACCAGTAGCTTGGTTTTCAAGGCCTACGTGCACTTCAGAGCTCTCTCGTAAAGAATATAATCAAAGGCTATGTAGTCCA